CTGCATCAATTGATATGACCTAAAGATTCTCAACAAGATACTAGCAAGTGGTATCCAATAACTTATTTAAAAACATTATACATCATGATCAGGTAGGCTTTATTCCAGGAATGCAAGGTTGGTTTAACATATGCAAAACTATAAGTGTATTATACCCATCTTACTTTCAAGCTGTCAGGTCCAAGACTCAAACCAGGGTTTGCCATGTGGGAATCCAGTGCCTTAACCACTATGCCACTTGCTGGCCCCACTGTCAGTAACATTTGTTTATATACATTTGACTTTTTACCAAGATTTCCAAATCAATAAAAATTCTAGTTTAATTAATAAGACATGCCACTGTCAAAAGTGCTGAATATCCAATGCTAACTAAGCTCACAGATCTGAAAATTGAGAGGGAAACATTCTGTAGTGTTAAAATACAAGACAAACTTTCACTGAATAAAAGAAACAGTTGTTTGAAGTAATCTAAAAGATACTTTATGACATAGATTGACTAACACTGGAATGAGTATATTAGCATGCAAGAAAAGAAATTACAGGCCAGCTGGTGGTGTAGTAGTTATGAATCCCACATGGCCCATGGCACAGTTTGTCTGGGACCTGGAGGACTGAAAAACACAGAGCATGTGTGTGTACATAACCCAAATTCTAAGATAATAGAGGAGAGAGCACTGTGTCATAGCCATCCACTGTGGGATTATTTCTCACTCTCTCTCTCTCTTCCCCTCTGGAGAGCACATTTACCCTATGGTCAAACTTTGAAAAAAAAAAAAAGTGTAGGGGTCAGCAAATAGCATAGTGGTTAGTCGCTGGACTCCCATGTGGCCAATTACGGTTCAAGTCCTGTACCCACTGGCTTGAAAATCACACCAAGTGCATGTGTGTGCATCACTCAAATACCAAAAGGAGAATGGAGGAGAAGGGACTGCAGTGTGGCCATCTCCCTTGGAGGGTGATTTCTTTTTTTTTTTTTTTTGAGAGGTTTTTGCTATAGTGCACATGCGCTCGCCAGACAGACAGAGACAGAGACAGAAAGTGAGAAATCACCCCCCCAGGGGGGATGGCCACACTGCAATCCTTTCTCCTTCGTTCTCCTCTCGGGATCTTGGGCACACACACACACACGCACCCAGCGTGAGTTTTAAGCCACCGGGTCCGGGATGAGAACTGTGGTTGACTATGTGGGAGTCCAGCAACATAGCCATTCCGCTAACTGCTGGTCCCGTCCCCTGGAGGGTGATTTCTCACTTTCCCTCTCACTGTCTCTGACTGTTCTCTCTTGCAAGTATACCTGCCCTAAGGCAATAATCTCTAAAAAACAACAAAAAAAAAGTGTAAGATCATAAGAAGGTTAATTAGCTGTTAGAGCTGTATTAGTCTGAGTACTGGCTAAGTTGCTAAAAAAGCTCCAAAATATAAAGCAGACAGACAATAAATGTGTATCTAGAGTATATCAAGAACTCACAATTCAATAATAAAAACATTAAATAAAAATTTAAAAAATTAAAAATGGGCTAATATGGAAACAAAAATAGCCAAAGTAATCTTTAGCAAAAAGAAAAAAATTATCACACCACCTGACTTCAAAATATACTACAAGCAATAGTAACCAAAGCAGCATGTACTAGAGTAGAAATAGACACATATATCAATAAAACAGAACAAAGAACCCAGAAATAAACCCACAGAGTTACAGCCAACTGATTTTCAACAAAAGCGCCAAGAAAATACACTGGAAAAAGGTCAGTTTCTGTAGTAAATGAGCTGGGAAAACTAAATATCCACACACAGAAGAATAAAAAGATAGAGCTGTATCATTCACCAATTACAAAAATCGACTCAAAAATGGGATAAAGACTTAAATACAAGACACAAAACAACTGAAAAAAAAAAACAGAGGAAATACATTATGACATTGGTCTCAACATTCATCTTTTTTGGATAAAATCTCAAAAGCAAATGTGACAAAAGCAAAAATAGATAAATGAGATTATATCAAATTAAAAATAAAAACTTTTCACAGAAAAGGACACAACTAACAGAATGAAGAAACAACTACAGGAATGGGAGAAAATATTTGCCATGCTAATGGCAAAGGGTTAATATTCAGAATGTGTAAGGAATTTAATAAGAAAACAACTCAAATTTAAAATAAGCAAAATATATGAACAGACATTTCTCAAAAAAAAAGACTAATGGTCAATGGATGTATGAAAAAATGTTCAACATTGCTGGTCATGAATATCAAAATCTCAGTAGATATCACCTTACTCCAGTTAGAATGGCTATTATCAAAAATATAATGCATAATACATGGTGGCAAGGCTGTGAAAAAAGGGGAACTCTTACACATTGTTGGTGGGAATGTAAATTAGTACAGTCATTATAGAAAATATTATGTAAGTTCCTCAAAAAAATAGAATTACCATATGAACCAGCAATCTCATTACTAATAATTATTAATTACTATAATTTATCATTATAAATCCAAAAGAAATCAGTATGTTGAAGGCATATGTATTCTCATATATACTTCATCAGTATTCACAAATGAAGTCAGTCTAAGTGTCCGTCAACGGATAAATGATAAAGAAAATGTGATACACACACATACACGCACACACAAATAGAATACTATTCAACTGCTAAAAAAAAAAAGAATGAAATACTGCTGTTTTCACCAACATAGATGGACTTGAAAATCTTTACGTTAAGTGAAATAAGTCAGGCACAAGAAAGCAATACTGCATAATCTAACTTATTTATAGAATGTAATAAAGTTTATGTCAGGTCAGCTCCATAGCACAGTGGTTGAGCATTGTGCAGAGGAAATAGATCTCACATGAGTGACGAGAGAGAGAGACAGAGAAAGAGAGAAAGCGAGAATACAACCTTTATTTATTTATTTATTTGGAGAGGTTTTTGCTATAGGGCGCGTTTGCTCGCCAGAAAGACAGAGACAAGAGAGACAGAAAGCGAGAAATCACCCCCAAGGAGAGATGGCCACGCTGCAATCCCTTCTCCTCCATTCTCCTCATGGGATCTTGGGCATGCACACACATGCACCTGGCGTGAGTTTAAGCCACCAGATCTGGCACTCAAACTGCAGTCGACTATGTGGGAGTCCAGTGACATAGCCATTATGCCATCTGCTGGTCCCACAACAACATTTCTTTTTTAATAAGGCAAAATCCATTGGAGCATATTGGCAAAAATCTTATTCTAAATATCATTGACCTTGGCTTGTTTTGTTTTCTTTTCTTTTTTTAGTTTGCTATAGATATATGCACTCACCAGAGCAACAGAGAGACAGAAAAGAAAAGTAAGAAATCACTCCCTAGGGGATGACCACACCTTAATTCCTTCTGCTCTGCTCTCCTCTCAGGATTTCCGCACATTTACACATGAGGCTGCTTTCCAAGCTGCTGCGTCCAAGACATGAACCATGCAGTTAGCCATGTGGAATTTGGTTATCTTAAGTGCCATACCACCTGCTGGCTCTGAAACTCTTTTTTGTATGTTAAGTACAAGTTTTCAATCAAGCAATGGTGCATGTCAATAAATAACAGGAGACTTCAAAAAGTTCAAAAAATATAAAATTAAAGTATAAGCTTATTTTAGTGTAAAATTTTAAAAAATACATGTATACTTTATTCATAATAAACCTTTACCTTAAACTTTTTGAAGATCCTGTGTACTTTTTAGGAGCTGTTCATTGTAATTTATTTTCAGTCTCTGAGTACTGAACTGGGTTAATGTTGATGAGTCTTATCCTATTATTTGTATATACGACAATGAAACTGGACTATATTATAGTTGCATGGTTCTATAGTGAACATGCCATGGCAAAATTATAATAAACTCATCTGATGAGTTCTACCAATTTAAAATTAATTGGCATCAAAATAATTTTGTAGCATTTTATTTAATTGCATCAAAATGCTGAATACTTTCTATAAACAAACAAAAATGTACAGAATAGATAGATTCCTATTAAGAAATTTGAGAAAATTGCTTCTGAGAAATTCTTACTGTTCCAGCAGAATGTAAATGCAATTAGAGGTATAATAAATGAAATTTACTTTAAATATCACTCAGCATTTACTGTTTTTAAATTAACAATTTACTCCAACCAGTATTAAATCCCAAGAAAGAATTTTTCTTTTTTTCTGGATTTATTTGGCTTGGCGCTTCACTCAAATATCAATTATCTTATTAAATTGAAATAATCATAACTACAAGCAGACAGTATAATTTACTTAGAAAATGATTTTGTCTGAAATAACAAGTTAGGAGTATGAAAAGGTATGAAAGGCAGTACATTTCTCTCTTTAAAGTGACTGGTCACTGCTTTTATTGCTCTTGTTCAACCAACTCAGAACAACTTCAGTATTTTATGAAACTCGAATAATAACAAAAGAGTTTAAGTGAGATAACTTTTCCCCATTTACCTTGAAATGTGTATAAAAGTGATCTATACTGCTTAACTAATATTATACAACTACTTTGTTTTCATTCTATAATAATTAGACAGTTACAATGTTGAGATCACTTTGTAGATAATACTCAAAGATAAAATCCAAGTAAAAGAAAAAAACTGGCCTTAAGATCTTATAGTAGTGACTGTCAAAATACTTTTTTTAAAAATTTCATTTGCGACATAAATATAAATCTCGAAAAGAGAAGCCATGGCCTAACACGAGATCTAATAAACGATGTAGATATTTAGAATTTAGTATGCAACCAATTATCTCAGGATTACTGTGAAAAGATAGCAATTCACTGTCAATTTTCTATGTGCCTTAGACCCCTTGCCACAGACCTATCTACCTAGCTATCTGTTTATCCATCTATGTGATAAAGACAACTCACACAAATACAATTACAGGTATACATCTGGCCATATACTGAGGCTTACCATGTTTCTAAATCACATAACTACACTTACTTTTTAAAATATAATTTAAAATGTTATCTTAAAGAAAAAATATACTTACTGCCCTCTAGAGGTATGAACCAGTAGTGTAATAAGTGTAGATGTTGCTGGGCATATACAGTTTAAAGCTAACATGGCGTATTTAAACTCTTCTTCACAAACAACATGATCTGTTTGAAATAAAATAGGTAAATTAGAATAATTTACCTTGGGAAAGTAATAGTTTTAAATATGAAAAATAAAACATAGTGAATAAAACTGAAAAGGTCTCAATATAAACATACTGTTTTAGATGTTTTCTTACATGTGCAATTCTTTTTTCCCCAGGAAGTATATTTTATAAGAGAGAGGATGACAATATGGGATAGTGATTGAGAGAGTGGGAATTTAGTCCTAATTTCATTTTTAACAAAATCTGTGACTGTTGGTAAAATGCTTAATCTTCTTATGTCTCATCTATACAAGAAAGTGAGTTTTCATAAGTTTGAGGTGCAGTCTGGAAAAATATAAAAAAAATTTTAAAAGGTTCTTCCAATCAGTTCTTCCAATCATACTATCGTGTGAAATACAACAGCGTTTACTTAAAACACTATTAATTCACAAATCCATAACCACACAACATAAATCTTAGAAATTATTCAAAGTAGTGGTAATAATATTTGCCTAACATATAAATTAGATTTGTATATTATAAAAACTATAATATCAATCAGTAAAAACTGAGGCAAAATAAATTTAAATTGTACTTTAACTTCCAGATCTAAGACTCATAAATTCAAAAGATGATAGAGTTCAGCCAGGAAAGATATAAATTACAACTGAAATTCAAGGACATAAAAATGACAGAGCATGCTTGAGACTACAGCACGAGGGGAAGGAGCAGGTCACATCTAGAGGGGATGAAACTGCTCAAAGTATGACGTCATCGGGAAAGTCATGATGTATTTTTCTGTTTCTCTGTGCAAAATGTGCCATGACTTTCCTGACAACCCAATATATTACTGCCATGCAGAAATGAGGTCCCGGATGCCAAACGGTCCATTTTCTACAAATCATTTTTACAGAAGTGATTAAAGTTATTACCTATTTTGAGAACAACAAAACAAAAAACATAATTCCCCACCCTAAGTAAGCAACTATACCTGGTATTGAAAATAAAGACAATGCTTAAAGTTCTAAGAAAATATATATTCTTAGGCAGAAATTAGTAGTTTTAGCTAAATTAAGAAATAGAAGGTTGAATTTGCCAGGGAGCAAGATCTGCTAAATGAATACATACATCAAACAGTTTATGGAGAAACAGCATTAGGGTACGTGGGAAATGGTTTACCAAATGCCCCAGACAAACGTCTAGACCTTAGTCCTGGTTTTATGATCGCTTATCAGGAACAAGAGCCCATTACTTTTTCTTTTGCCGTCATTTTATTATTATTATTATTTCACTTTTCTCTTTCATGTTTTATGGAAAAAGCTATATATTATAGTTACATCTCAGGATGAACTCTCAAAAGTATCAAAGAATGGGCCAGCCTGCGTCATGACGGTTAAGGTGGGTGGGTCCCAAACTGCCGACTGTGCAGTTTGAGTCCCAGAACCAGAGGTTCAAGAAACCTGTCAGGCTCATGGATGTGTGACCAAAATCTCAAAAGGAGAGAGAAATGAAGGAAAAGGGATTGTGATGTGATCATTCCCCAGGATGGGGTGTTTCCTCTCTCTCTTTCTTCCTCCCGTCACCTTCTGTGAAAATACACATTCTGTAAAATTTAAAGAAGGAAATATCAAAGATCTCTCAGTACTCTCAATCTCTCACCCTCTCTCTTTTGTTCTTTTTGCTTGTCAATATAATAATCTTTAAGGAAAATTGATATTTACTCATTTACAGAAAAATGAGGATTTTTACATCTATTTTTAAATGGGAGAAGTGTACAGAATATTTACAAAAGAAACATGTCTTTAAACCACCATTTCAATTTATCTCAAAATAATTTTTGAAAGTGTATGCACAATCTGTGAAAAGAAAGTAACAAAACTTCTAACTTCCCAATGTTATTACTTTGGAATCATGATAGCAATACAGAGAGGACCCATACATTAATTGCAAACTAAAATTTGGGACATAGGATTTAAGAAAAATATGTACATTTATTATAAGACAGAATTTAAAAATCCAAAGGAAATTTGGAAGGTATGGTTATCAAATATATGCATGCATGAATTAATTTTTACATACTATAATGCTCAAACCATATTTCTTCCAGTAAAGGGACATGAGAAATACATGGTATAGGTGTGATAACTCTGAAAATAGCCCATCTTATTTTCCCTTAATATTGGGTTGTTTGGAAATTCATGACGCATTTTTGCCCAGAAAAATATGTCATGACTTTTCTGATGACCCAATAGCTAAAAAAAAAAAAAAAAAAAAAAAAAAAAAAAAAAAAAAAAAAAAAAAAAAAAGCCCCCCCCCCTTTCCTTTTTTTTTTTTTTTTTTTTTTTTTCAATGAATGAGTGTATCTGAGTTTAGAGGGAGATGCCTGTGAGAGGCTGGGGTTCCACTGGCTTGTTTTCCAAAATTGGCCCTAATCAGTGGGAAGTGAAGAGAGTCTTTTTTTACATATGCCCTTTTTCTACAGTTAGGGAAAAGCTATGCAGTGCCCATCAGTCCTTTGCACTAACAGCATATATGCTACCATTAAGGTCAACAACTTTGCACATAAAAAAGAGGTATGGTTTGCACTGTCATAGAATATACTGAATTAGATGGAGACACACATAGAAATTAAAGAAACCATTTACTTTATTGCATTTAGCATTGTATGAGTATTTAACGCACATTTGGCGTCAGTCAGTCTTTGTAGCCGGTGCATACTTACTGCTGGCAGATCTCTCGTTTCCATTGTAGGTTTTATGGACAGTCAAACCTGAGCATTACAAATTAAAATACATGCCTCTTTATTATTACTCCCTGTTTCTCCTAGGTATTACTTCCTGTTTCTGCTATGTCTTATAATTAACTACTTCAAATTTATGTGTTTAGACAGTTATGTTTACTCTGAATTTCATTCCATAGTAGAAATAGAAGTGTTCAAAATATTCATTGTGAAAAGGGGAACTGGATCACTAAAAACCACCATTATAGCTAAATGAGTTCATCTATAATTATGAAATTCCTCATTAGATGAAAGTTAAATCAGTATGTTTTCCTTTTAAAACTCTATTAATCTCTATGGGTGGCAGATAGATGTGTAGGGATATGATAAAATATCCAAATGAGTGATAATCTTCATTTGCAACCATTACAGAGAGTTAAAAGTTAACGTGCAAAGCAGAATTGATTATATTTCTACAGCTGTATTCTCAGATCCAAATCCATTCTTTCTCTTAGGACTTTATTAAACACTAATCACTAACCCTTCACCTGAATTTTTAAACCTGAAAATAGTATTTCATAGGACCTTGCTCTTTATTTCCCAATGCCTTATAATAGCATTGGAAAATGCTACAGTTTATTGACTATACCTTTCACTCTATCTCTTTTTTAAAGTCATCTCCCTCTCTTTTTCTCTCTCTCTTTCCTACTTCACTCTTAGTACACACAGATTTCCCATCCCTAGTCAGAATTCTGAAGGGTCAGATTTCAGAAGAAAACACTTTTTTTTATTTTTCAGGATTTAAAAAGGCAATAGGCTTCATCTATCAGGCCCTACGTAATACATCCAATGGGTAATCTGTTCTTTAAAACACTGCTACTTTTTTTGTTGTGGTTAGAGATTTTTGCTATAGGGCACATGTGCTTGCCAGAGAAATAGAGACAGAGAGACAGAAAGCAAGAAATCACCCCCTAACGGGGATGACCACACCACAGTCCTTTTTCCTCCATTCTTGCCTTGAAATTTTGGGCGTGCGCGCGCACACACACACACACACACACACACACACACACACGCCCAGAGTGAATTTTAAGCTGCTGGGTCAAGGACTCAAACTACGACTGATTATATTGAAGTACAGCATTACACCATCTTCTGGTCCCCAAAACACTGCTACTTCTGCATATAGCTGCATGAATGCTTATACCAAGTGGAGACACATTATGAGGGATTGTGGACTGCTTGTAAAACTCGGATATTCTAACCAAAGTAAATGCCAACAGCTTCCCTGTCAGTCTTCCTGTCTCCCACCCATTTGGCATTGCACCTATCATCCTTTTAAATGCATGCTGTCTAAAACAGCAGCCACTAGCCATATGTGGCTTTTTAATTTTAAATAAATTACCATTAAATAGGAAAGGTCAGTTCTTCCATCACACTAGCCACATTTCTCAAATCAAGAACAATATAAAACTTAGGTATTATAAAACTGCATAATACAGAAATATACCCTGGACAGAAACTGTTAAGTTCCCCTTACCATTCATTATTCCCTCTATGCAGAAACCACAGTTAAAGATACTCTAGAACAGGTGGGTAGAAAGTGCAAGAACCCTAACACGTGTCATTGTACACCTTTCTCATTTTAGTCAGCTATACATAGACAGATGTTCTAAGATTAAGAATTGTTCACTTTGTCAGCCAAGAGAGAAGGGAACAGAACACTCTTATGTAGAACATTGATGGCTTACAAAATGAAGAGTCCGGGAATCTTGGATACTTGAAAATCCCAAAAAAGTGAACTGTACCCTAAATAATGAGATGAGACTTTCTTTTAGAGCTTTCATCAGAGGCATCGCATTAAGAAGTCGCAGCCAGACCAATAAAGCCAGACCTACCTGTGGTGAAGATAAGATTAAAGGATTACACTGCCTTCCCACCCAGAAGTGTTGTCTCAGGTGACGTTACCATGGCCGCCATCGCAGCCAGGAGGGAGCTCTGGGGAGGCAATGAATGCCAGTAAACAAGCCAGGCTTAGGAGAGTTCTCAGAAAAGAACCTAGAGCATAACTACAGACACATGGCAAGGACGGGAAGAAATCATCCAATTTCAACTTCAGAAATAGTTCAGAGAAAAGTGAACAAGGGGCCACGCACATGAAGAGACAACAGAGTTTCGCGAGAAGAGCAGAACCAGGCTTCGATCAGGCGTTTGCTCTGGTGCCCTGGAAGTCCTTGCATTCACGTGCACAGGACCTGCTATGGACCAGTGACTGTTGTGTGTCTCTCATTACTCCCTGT